AACATTCAGATCCCCCGTCCAAGATGCATGGCATACTGAGCAGCAGATGTCAGCAGTGACCACAAATGTTTGCATTACCAAACAAAAAAATAAAACTAAGAATGACTTTAAACAGAAACTGGCAAAGAAAATCAAGGCAACAAACTGACTCTGGAAGAGTACTGTGAGAAATTCCAGTCTGGACTGAGGACAGCGTCAGCTGAAGAAGGTGTGGGACACTGTAATGACTGGAAATTAGGGGAACAGGGAGTGCTCAGAGATGATACAGTTCAAACTGCAGTATTTACAGCTGGATGTCAACAGAAGCAGAGCCAAAATTGGATAAACCAAGCAAGCTAGCATCTCGGTGTGGGGAGAAAAAACTCCTGAATACTAAGCCTCACCTCAACAGCATGGCAGTGGGAGCTGATCCAATCACAGCAAAAATGCTATAAGCATTTGACACTATCCAGCCAATGACACTGATGGAGCAGGCCAGTGAATTCTGGGAAAAGAGATCCTCCCAAACGCTGGAAACATGGGAACATTGGCAGAATATCCAAAACAGGAGACCTCACTGTAGCCTCGGCCCCTCGTATTTACAAGTAACTATAGGATCCAGAAAAATGTGTCAAGGTCTAGAGGCATTTTAAAAGAGCCCTTTTTTTTTACTTCTGTTTTTGCAAAGGCTGTAATCTTCAAATAACCCTTTAAGACTGTGAAACAATATAAGAATAACCTTTTATCACAAAGGCTACTGTTAACTATAGGGTTAACAGGCTTTTAGACCACAGTATATTAAAAATAGCTGTATGATACCAGTGGAGCTTGAGTCAGCCTTGAGTACTAAAGCAAGCAGGAGATATCTGGGCCTAACTGCAAAAAGGAAGAGAAGGGAAAACATATATAGAACAAATTATAATGCCACAGTTAAGACTGATCATAGACTAATATGATGTCTGAAGCAGCAGAAGTTAAGGTCATGTTAGGGATCATGTGGAGGTCTAGGCTGGACACCAAAAAAGGAAATATCTATGTGTAAAACAGAACAAATCTAGATGCAGATTATCTGATCTGGAAATAACCTGCATGTGGTTGTTATAAGCATGCTAACTCTCTGACTATGCATAAGGGCAGGTGGGCAAGGGGGAAAAGGAGGAAATCAAAGTAGGCACCTGGCAGACATGGAGAGATTGGACATGAACAGGGATCAACAACTGAAGAGGTGGTAGACTGTGATTGGAGAGCAGCAAGCAAAGGAACGGTGAGGTGTAAAAGAAGAGGTTACGTGGAAAGTAACTTGGGTACACAACACTGAAGACACCACCATGCAGGTGTGCAAAAGTCCCCTTGCCTGGCAACTTAGCTCCTATATGTAATGTATCTGATCATTTTATTTTTGCTTTATTTAATCTGTCAATGAATCTGTTTCCTATATGACTGGGATGGTCTGAGGTCTCATTTATTGTTGCTGCCCCAGCCCCCTCAAATCTACCTGCAGTTTAGGTGTAATACAACTAACTGGAACATCTGAAGAAAGCACAGTGTGGCAGTGTACTACTATACTGGATGAGATAAGTAGCCGAATATCAAGCTCAGAAAAGAAAAGACTGTGTCCAGTTTTGGGCTCCACAATTCAAAAAAGATGTGGAGAAGCTTGAGAGAGTCCAGAGAAGAGCCACGCTCATGGTCAGAGGTCAGGAAAACAGACCTTGTGACGACAGGCTGAGAGCCATGGGGCTCTTTAGCCTGGAAAAGCGCAGGCTCAGGGGTGATCTGGTGGCCACCTATAAGTTTATTGGGGTGACCACCAGGATCTGGAGGAACGTTTGTTCACCAGAGCGCCCCAAGGGATGACGAGGTCAAACGGTTATAAACTACTGCGAGACCGTTTCAGGCTGGACATAAGGAAGAATTTCTTTACTGTCCGAGCCCCCAAGGTCTGGAACAGCCTGCCATCGGAGGTGGTTCAAGCACCTACATTGAACACCTTCAAGAGTAAATTGGATGCTTATCTTGCTGGGATCCTATGACCCCAGCTGACTTCCTGCCCTTTAGGCGGGGGGCTGGACTTGATGATCTTCCAAGGTCCCTTTCAGCCCTAATGTCTATGAAATCTATGGATTTAGGCCTAAGAAATCCTACGTAGACCAGAGATTCAAACTATTGGCCTTCAGAGAGGAATCATGTATCATCAGACTTCTCTCATGAGTTTCTTTGCCTCTGAAAAGGCCCATGACGGATGTGTGGAGACACACGGCATGACATATTGTAGAACAACCTTCATTCCTATGGACTTCCAGCAGCAGCAGCAGGGCCATGCACAGAAATGTAAAGTGCCATGAGAGGATGAGCAATGAACTATGTAGTAGTTCCACACAGACGTTGGCATGAATCGTGCCTGCATTCGCTTTCCATGGTTGCTTGGCATTGCCATACATTTGATAACAAAGAAGTGTGGTGATACAGTGGTTAGGTATCAAATGTCTAGAAGACCTAGATTTTACTGATGACTTTACGCTACTGAGTGATGCCTCCAAAAATGTAAAACCAAAAAGGCAGATATTTTGGCCAAAATGGGGGGCTCATAAGTCCATGCAACAATGTTACATCAGAAGGTAAAAACTTCAGGAAAGTTGAACAATTCACTTCACCAAGCAGCACTACCCAAGAGAGACTTGCACGAAGGACGTTTATGTCAAGCATAGGCAAGGTATCCACAACTTCCATTAAACTGAATGGATGGAAATCCACGACATAACTAAGAACCAGAGCCAGAGCCAGAAGTAACTGAGCATTTTTAGTTCAGACAATCTCACCGCTAAAATACGCTTGTGAGAGCTGGAGATCTATCTAGGAAGCCAAACACCTTTGTAAAAAGCATTGCGTAAGAGTGGATGGAAGGATTTAATTGCCAACAAAGAGACATGAGAAAGCATCAGCCAGCAGCCTGAAGAAGGACTCTGGCTGGGGTGTGAAGCAGACACCACAGCGAAACCACGGAGCAGATGGAAGCAGCAGCAAATGAAGGAAGAGGCAGAGACTAATTCCAGGCCGTGCACCAGTGATGACACCGGAAAGAGAGCTGGATGTGGGCAGAGACGGTTCAACGCATTAATAGATTAAAACACATCTCTAGACTCATATTTGTGCAGGAATTATGACCCCCCACCTATGACTTAACTGCATCTGCTCTATGCTGTCCTTTCACAGTAGCTGTTGAGGTGAACTTGGGTTCATGAAGGTTTGTGCTCTCGTTATGTATCTTATTAAGTCTATAAAGGTGTATGTCTACCCTGCCTTGTGATTAACTGGTAAAAGCTAATCAGAAGGCATTTTTATTAACTTTAAAAAGAATATGTAGCAAGTAGAACTGCTGTGTCGTAAATCCAAAAATGGATGAATGGTCGCAATTTCTTGCATCTGGTGTTGGACTTTGTCAGCGTCCCATGGAGCGGGGGTATATGCTCAGGACCACCGTGGCCGTGTCAGGTGTCTGGGAGTGCCTCCCAAAAGCCAGCCCAGGCATGGCTTATGGAGTAGAGGGGGAGCTCTGGCTCCTTCCTGCTCTGCAACCCTGGCCTTTTGGTCCTCAACCCTTCTTGGTTGCTCTGCGGCCCTGACTCAAGGAGACAGCTTCCATTTCAGCTCTTGAGAGAGGAATTTGATCTCTTTTGGGGAAGTTTCAAGGAGCAAAACAATAAATAAAGGCATCTGCTGGGGCAAAGGCCAGCCTGCTTGTCCATCCCTCCATATCCATTGTCATAGTTATCTCCCCTGGATATCTCCTGGGTATTACCTGCAATCTCTGTCTTTGCTGAAATGTCATCACAGCTATTCAAGTCTCTGTAGATGGATGCATCTTCTCGCACGTAGGCCACACACGCGAGCTACACTGTCTCTGCAACCCATTTGTTTCTGCCTGCATAGGTTAGCTGGGGGGAAGACTGAGGCATATGCCACGTCATGACAATATGAACACAGAAATATTGCAATAAACACCACAGCCATCACAGACCTAAAGCCGGCCAATGCTAATTATCTGCTAGTCTCTCATCTTCTCTCTAGACAAGAAACCAATGGGTTTTAAAATCAAATTACTTAAATGGATGGAAATACCACTTAGCTACAAGTTTAATGCTTTTTAAAATCATATTAGCCGGTCATGCGGCATACTAGCCTCATCCCTCAGTCCACCTAACCTGATTTTAAATTGGATGAAATGTATGTCTCAGTGGAACTTCAACCCTGCTAGCTAATTTGATTTTAAAGCACACTTTCCCCTGAGTTTAAAAAGGCCCCACAGAGGCATTGCATATTTCTGATCTAATTGATCGATTGGAGATTGCTTTTTCACTTTGCTAAATGCAGTTTTGAGCAGGCAACTCCTGCCCAAACTCAAGCTTGCTGGAAATTTTACAGTAGTGCAGATTTGATCTCAGGTGTGGTGCGTTAAATACTGCTCCTTTGGGAAGACAGGCTCCAAAAGAGAGAGAAGAGGGAGGGGAAGGAATAGGGCAAAAGTCCTTGCACTCAAATCAACTTTAAAGCCACTGGGTTGTAAGCAGGGGATCTATGAGTCCCCAGAAGCATTCATTGAGCACTGGCAAGGCAAGCTTGTTTAGCTTTGGCATTTCATTGAGATAAAGAGGGTGGCAGTGGTAGGTTAGGCACATCGATAACATGCTGTTTTTGTACTAGGAAGAGTAAACATTGTGGACCTGATTTTCATCATGTGCCTGTGTAAATCAGAAGTACATCTGCTGATCTCAGCACACATTTCCCGTCCACCCTAAAGAGGAAATGCCCAGACAGACCTTAGTATCGTGGAAATTATTTGTCTATTTGGTAAAAGATCATTGAAGGATGGTAAAACATATAGCACATAAAGTGTCCTTTAGGCCAGGGCTTGCTGCATAGTGCCCCTTCCCTGCTGTCAATCATTATCCAACAGGTTTATGGTTCAGAAGGTGGAGCTGTCAGGCAATAAAAATAGGAGGTCAGAAGAGGAAGCGTTCTATTATTTATCCCATTGTCAGGGATGATTCAGATAATTCAGCTGTACGTTTTGTGATCTTTCACCATGCAACTTATTTATTCCACTCTCCTAAAGGGAGCCCCCTTTCTCTGCCCCACCCCCTTACCCTGTTCATATAACACACACTGCCTTTAGCAACACCTGCTTGCTATAGTGCTGGCTGTGTAGTGCCTGTGTCTGCCTTCTCCAGGAGAATGGGCACTTACATCTCTAAAGCTGACACTTCTGTTGCATTGCTCTACTTAAGTGTGACTGCATTTTTTGGAGGAACAGTTTTTTACAAAGCCAGGAAGAAGAAGATGGAGAAAGCAAATACATTTGTCTGTGGGCTCCTGCTACTCTCATTGGAAATCCTCTGTTTTGCTATGCTGAGAAGTTATGCAGGCTTGCTCCTGTTCTCTGGGGCATGTCTCATCTCTTACATTTGCTTACCTGTGCGATCCATGTTACCTGTGGACAACAAAGCTGTGCTGATCACAGGTAAGGGGGAATGGGCAAAGTTTGGGAAGTAAAAACTGGCACTTCTGTCTGACAGATAAGCTGTGCAAGTTCCTATTGTCAGCTCTTCATCACCTGTGCAATGCCATTATTTGGGCAGGTGAGTGGCTTTTGTTTTCTTTTCCAAACTCACATATCTTTTAGATGCTTTCATTCCTTTTCTCAGATTTTTTTCCAGGTTATAAAATGTTCTGCAGTCATTTAGGAAAATATCCTTTGTGCTATTGCTTTTAGTGCTTTATATTTTAAAAATAAATTATACAAATAGTTTTCTTTGCTACATTGAGAAATCTACGTCTGGTCTCATCCGGTTTCACTAGTGTTTACTGTTGAAATACGTAGCTTAATCCCCCTGATTTTAATAATTTAAAACTGAGCTTTAAAGTGGCAGGCATATTCCACTATTGCAACATTTTCAATACGTTGTAGGTCAAAACATGACTAACTCTAATTACACATTTAAGCTGTACATGGTTTAAAAAAGTAGACACTAGATTGATACAATATAGTAAAATATAGACGTATGCTATATGCATTATCTATTAACAACATTATTCATAGATGTTCTTAACTAACACAGGTTAAATGCAATGATACTAAAGAGTTTTGTTAATTTATAAAAGAAACTATGACCTGGTTTCTCTCTCCTGTTTTTTGTGAAATGTTTTTTTTTAGCACATTTTTAGTGTAAGCCATCTCGGGCATTGCTAATCTTAGCTTATTTTTTCATCCAGAGCGTTGGCTTGTATTGTTTGGAGTTGTCCATGTAGCTTATCGCTCTGAGAGTTTATACCAAGTGAGGAGTAGTCATTTTAATTTGGATTGACAGATGTCCACACTAGGGCTTCAAAGAAAAAGTTCAGTGACAGTGTCCGCAGCAAGTTTGCCTCCCCCATTTTAGCAGCTCAGCTAAGTTCTGCCCGCTGCATCCAGTCCTTGTTTGTCTGCTCTGATGTACCAAAAGAGGATAGATGTAAGCCAGGGGTAGCTAGAAAATGCATGCCTGCGGCAGAAGGCAGGAACTTGAATCTGATCAGGCAAAGCAACAGCCTGTGCTTGCACTGAGACAAGTCTCTCGGGAGTTGTTGTTTTTCTTTTCTTAAACTACCTTTTTGCAAGATGCTGGAAGGTAATGTTTCTTCAACAGCCAGCTTTCAGCGTCCCAGGAATCAGCTGTGCTTCGCTCCGTTTAGGTGCTCCCATGCCAATGCTTGATTGTCTTTACCCATAACTGGCTCAACCAGGATCTGCCCCACCTGTTGTCCTCTCTGTTCATTTGAATCACTTGTGTGATGATGCAGGGTCTCCTGCCACTCAGTTTTTAGCCCGGCTTTACCTAGTGGAGGGGAGGCCTGAGGCAGAGACTTAATTACCATTGCATTTCTTCTCCCTTTCTGAAACTACTGAGGAAAGTTGTTGGGTGCTGCTGGGTTTCCATGGAGGATGATGTTAGCTATGCACCCTTTGTCTTTCAGTTTAAAAAAATGCTTTGCTGTTTCTTTTGGGATGGATGATGACCTAAATGGCAGTACACACTTCCTTATGATTAGTTTAGCACGGCAATAGCTGTGAATGCTCCACTATGTATGTGAAGGATACTGTCTTTAGCACAGTCGTGCAACCACTTTCTCATGAGAGTAACTGCAGTCATGTGAATGGCTCCAATTGATCCACATCTCTCTATTGCTCCTGGCTGCAGGATGGAGCCCCTTTGCTGTATTTAAATAGAAAGCCTTTTGTGCACGGAGGATTTTATCACTTTCCTTTTTTTGCCCCGATTATTTTGCCACTGGAGAAACTTTTCTATAGATTCAAAGACCCGCATGGTCTGAAATGAGTGACGAAAATACTTAAACTGGGGGAAAGCTCTAAAACAGCAAAAGAAGGGAAGAGTTTTGTATCTTGGCATCTGGCCTTGCTTTCAGCATCACAATTTCTGATGATAAGTAGGAGTTAATGATGCTAGTAGTGGGATTAGTGGTAGATTTTCCATCTCTTGATGTACTGAAGACTGTCTTGGACGCCTTTGCGGAAAATCTGCTTTAGTCAGACACGAGTTTTAGGGCTTGCTAGAGGCACAACTGGAGCACAGCTGTGCTGTGGTAGGCAGCTAGCTCAGATGATCTAATGATCCCTTCTGGCCTTCAGATCTATGAAGCAAGCGGCAAAATTTCTTTTGAGGTCAGAGGCCTGGACATAGGTGAAAGTAATGCTGTATTTCCCCCTCATTGTTACAATCTCTGTCCATCTTTCCTTTGCACTTTACCTTTTCCTTCCTTCAAGGTATGTAGCAAAGGTCAGCTAATAATTAAGATAAGCATAGAGCCATGCACTGCATGTTTATACTTGCACAACAGGCTGGATAGGGTGAGAGGGGATGTGAAAGATGGCACAAAGAGGTTTTACCCTACCCCCACAAAAAATCCCCATTTGCCCAAAAGCTTGCAATTAAAGACCCGATGAAGGGTGTTTGTGCCTAAAAGCTTGCAATTAAAGAATTTCCTTTTCCTCTAGACCAGTGCGGCTACAACCTGGATACCTGTATGCCCTACTGACATTTGCAGAGTTTGTTTCCTTTGGGAATCCCAAGAATGTGTGCGTGCGTTGTGGGACAGGGGAGAGGGAGGGAGATTGTTTGCCTAAGAGAGATGGAAATCAGGTGTTACCTGAAGAGCTCTGGTGCATCTTCAGCAAACCAGGGATTTCGCAGAGGCCAAAAAGCATTTTACAAAGGGCTAATTCAGCAAGAGATGTTACCTTCTCAGAGCAGTTGACAGCAGGATTCAGTGCATACCCCCAGTTTATTTCAGCTTGCAATTCACTTTCTTTTCATCCTGAAGGAACACTGCCTAATGTAAAGGACCTAGGAGTCCTCAGACAGATAACATACGTGTTGAATTATGTTGCTGTGCAGGAACTGACTTGGGGTCTTTGCTATTGTGGAGATTTTAGGATCATGGCCATTTATAATAATAATGATGCACTTGCCATTTACATACGACTTGACATAGATGAATTTCCTCAAGCCTCCAGTGAGGTTGATAAGCAAGGAACGCTATTTCCATTTTACAAATGAGGAAACCGAGGCAGGGGAATTAAGTGATTTCTCCAAGGCCACTGTATGGATTGATACCAGGACCAAAACTAGGGAATTTCTTGGACTGTCTTTAGATTTCTAGATCATGCTGTTTTAGAAGCCTTTTATCTAATGGATTTCCATTACAGGCAACAGCCTGGCATAACCCATTGATTTCAAAGTACATAATTTCTTTGGGGCAGATGCAGCGTGCACAAATAGCGCAGATTTATAATGTGAAACATCCATGGTCAGTTCTCAGGCTGAGCTTGCCATTCAGCATGCAAAGGCTGACTTTCAACCCGTTTAGCACAGCTCCTACCAGCACAGCTTATTTGGCCTCACTTCCTTCTCCGGGTTCTTGTCCTTAAGGCAGTGTTTAACAAGGGAGGAAATGTCTTAGTTTCTCTTTGGCACCAAATTGCTGCTTCTCTTCCTTCCAAAGTCAGTGGAAGTTACTTCAAACACTTTTTCCTTGTTGCGTACTGCAATGCTCAAGTCCAAGAGGTGATGGAGTATGAGAGCGAAGGAAGGGTGGGAGTGGTGAACCCATTCGTGTTTTTCTCCAATAAAGTACTTCTTGTCCTATGAATGAGTGGGACTGCACAGCTATAACAACAAACGGACATTAAAGAAGCTGTATTTTGCCTAATGTGTCTTTCCAATTCTGGTGCTTTCAGGAAGTGATTCCGGGATTGGACACGCATTGGCGAAGCACCTGGATAATTTAGGTTTTGTTGTGTTTGCTGGGGTTTTGAACAAAGAAGGACCCGGGGCTGAAGCATTAAAAAGGAGCTGTTCCCAGAGACTTTCTGTCCTGCAGCTGGATATAACCAATCCCACACAGATAAGGGAAGCTTATCTTGCAGTTTCAGAGAAGGTACAAAATGCAGGTATGGTTTCTGTGCCGTTTTCTGCAGGTGGTGCATAGGCCTCTGTTTGCAAGGTGCATCCACTGTCTTGGCTGCAGTGTGGTCTGCATGGGATGTGTTACATGTTTCCCTTTCTAAGCCTCTGAGCCATCAGGGCCTGCCTATAATAACATAGCTCCCCGGCTTTGTTTTGGGTGGGCCATCCAAACCAAATTTGGGATATACAGTCTATATATATTTAAAACAATTTTGTGTCCCCCTTGTAACAGAGCAATTTATTTACTTCGTTTAATGATTGGCATTTCCTTGTCTTCTGCAGGATTATGGGGCATTGTTAACAATGCTGGGGTCCTGGGGTTGCCTGCAGATGGTGAACTGCTTCCCATGAGCATCTACAGGCAGTGTATGGATGTGAATTTCTTTGGCGCTGTGGAGGTATCCAAAATGTTCTTACCGTTACTTCGGAAATCCCAAGGGAGGCTTGTTAATATGTCCAGCATGGCAGGTGAGTTGAACTGAAGCTCCAAATTAATTCCATTTATGGTGCAGTGCAAATAATGAATAATGGCTGACCTGGAGGAAATTCTTGGACCAGGTTTTGGTCAACATATTGCTTAGCAAAATAATCCTCTGAAATCAATATTCGCTCATTATATCATTATCTACTGTAATGAACTGTCTCTCTTGTTCAGGTGACTGCCTATAGTAGCTAGGCATTAAAGAGGTTCAATAAAGATCACTTCTCTAGAAAGCTCTTGTTTTTCTCTCTTGTCCCAAAAGAAACTCGTACCAAAACGTAACGTGCTCAGGTCCAGAGTTGCAGATCTGAACCTGATAGTTTCCCCAAGAGACTTAAGTTTTCAAATGGACTGCTGAAATGTGTGCCAGCAGAATTGGAAACAGCTCCTGCTGTGTGTGCAGATCCTGTATTTGTGCATGGAGTTGCCTGTGTTGTCCTTTCATGCATGTATTTGAAATGGCAGCTTTGCATCAGCAGTGGTTATGGCTCAGGCCTCTGTATCTCTAGGGTAATAATGGAGTATGAATGACTTTCAGATGAGTGTGAGAGATCTGTCCAAGAAAATCAAAGGAGAGGATGTTTGGTTGACAATTCTTAACTTTAGAGCAGAAAAAGCAAATGCTACAACTGTTATCTACCTCTTGTAAACTTGTCAGATAAGTATTTAAGCTGCTGTGGTGTAACCCTTCTTTCCTAGGATTAAGAACAGATTGTGCAAAGTATAGCGTTAAACATTTACATCTTAATTGGTAGGACACATAATACCCCTCCTAGGGAATGGATGCCCGTTTCAGTCTGTACACTTTTCTGCAGTGCTTTCCAGAAATCCTGCCCTGCCTTCTGCCACCATGAACAGAGGAAGGAAGACAGTGCCATTAAAGTAGTCTAAACTCATGTGAAATAGGCCTTTACGTCATACCCCGAGTTAGCGTAGCCAGCTGGAAGAATCACTAAAGATGGAACCAAAGTTAGGAAATGTCGGCTGTCCGGCTGATTTCAGAGGCTTGGATGTAGACTGGCCCCTACGCTCCTGAGCAGGCCCAGCGGGGGCACGGTGCATTTTATGATCTTTGTTTTTTCCTTTACAGCTTTACAGGAGAAAAATACTTTGATTCACAGTCATGAAAAATTAAAAAAGCACCAGCAATGAGAGAGAAGAGAAATTCTGAATACAGCTAAACAAAGTATTTGACTTCCCAGCACCTTAGGTTCATAGTTTTGTGTTTCTTCTGTGATTAAAAAAAAGACAGGGTTTGGAGTCTAGGACTCTGCCAACAGATGGGAAAGGAAACTTGATTTTCAGCAGTCTTGATGTCAGACTAAAAATGGCGACTTTGTTTGTGCCCGGTCTGTACATATATCCTGCCTAATCTGAATTTAGGCTTCTAAGTCTACTTGCATGATAGATGGAGCTAATAGTCACCTTGAGTTTAAACTGCAAGCTGTTTCAAGAACCTTGGCTTTAATATTTTTGTCTCTTTATGCAGAATGGGTGATTAAAATATCTCACGTCCTTGACTGTTGTTTAAAAAGGAGGAGGGAAAAAAAAAAAGTTGTGTGGTAAAGTTATTTGCTGCAGGTCCCCCCTAACTCATGCGTGGAGCTGTACTCCAGTAGTCATGCTGAGACAAACATGACCCTGCCTAGCTTGAGCAACTGCTGTTGGCTTTTGAATTTTGTATGCATACATTTGGAAACTGGGTGACAAAGGTGATATATGTAAATGCTGAGGTACATGGTGAAATTCTGATCAACTTTAGCTGGGTTTGGCTCAGGTACATAATCCGATTGCAATTCTGGCCTCACCGGAGCCAGTAGGAATTTTTGCCACTGATTTCAATTAAACCCATTTTTTATTCTCTCGTTTTGAGGACATCTCCACAAGTGGGACTGTTTTTTTTTTCCTCAGGGGCAAGTAGCAGCGGCACATATATTTGTGCTGCTGCTAGTTGTCCCTGGGCACGCCTCTGCACGCACACTCTGGTGCGTGGCAAATTGCCCCTGGTGGGGTAGGGAAGGCTGGGGCCAGCACCTGGGCAGGCCCCAGCCACCTTACTGGGAGCTCTGGGGCCTCCTGAGGCTGCAACAGTGGTGATTTGGGTGTGCAGAGCCTACTGCTAGTGGGCGTGCAGAGCCTGATGCTGCCACGTGCACGGATCTCCTAGTGTCAGAAAAACTGCTGCACTGCTACGAGATGCGCTGGTGGAGACGTGCCCCTTTTTGTCCAGCTTTTTTAGCAGATGCACTAAACTCCTCAACAGACTCTTTTTTTTCCCAGGTCATAATTTCACAAATTTAAAGTATTATGGTTTTCCAATGAAAGAGACCAGTGCTTTGGGAACGGTAAAACCGTCTATTCTTTCATGTGGATGATCACCTAAGATCTGCTGGGCAGTGAGAACAGGAGTGGAAATAGGGTCCAGCAGCTACTAACTAAGGATTGAGAACTCCTTCAACACATTGACTGCCTGATGGAGGATCCCTAAAGACCAGTTTAAGGCTTGCCATAATGGTTGGTTTAAAAATGTTCACCTTTACCTTGTGTTGGCTGATCTGACCTCCGTTTTCAATGTAACAGCCATAAGATTTAAGACAAGTAGGGTTAAGGAAGCCACCTAAGAACAATGCGTGACAAACTGATGTCATCGTGTCTGTCTGTGATAATCACAAAGCAAGTTGCCTAGCTGGTTTATTGTTTTAAGCAGCAAGGAGCCATGCACACAACATGTTTGCAATTGTGTAAGTTAAAACAGTGTACAAAAGCTGAGGTAAGTTACTCCAAAACCTGAAGTGGACAGTCTACTGGTTATCCTAGAGTAGTCATGGCAGTAGGTGATACTATAGTACTTTGCCACTAGGGCTATGTACAGACATTCAAAAAGTCCAAGGCAGAATTGATCTAAGTTGCGTGGTCTTCTGTAAGTGGCATTGTTTAGATCAGTAGTGAACAAAACACACGGTTGCCGTTTGGTTGTGGGGGGGGGGGGAAGCAGCAAATCTTAGACCTGGTTCTGCCATTTTTAAACCAGTCTGTGTGACGAACTTCTCTTCTGCTAGACTGTTTTTGTGTGCTGAACTTCTGTACAGGCTGCCTGCCAATCGCCTATACCAGTGAAAGTGTAATGTCTGTACTTGGCCAAGGTGGCAGGGGAACTGGTAATGCTTATTAGTATTGAGCAAATGGCTATTTTAGGGAAAATCCATACTGGATTCTAGTTCGTTGCACTAGTGCAGGGCTGCGCATTGTGTGGTCACTCTTTATTTATGTACCCAAGCCCTAAGCAAAGAGCTGGGGCCTTTTAGTTCATTCAGCTATACTCTTCTCCCTACGTCACCTCAACAGAAATGATTGCTATTACAGCCTTAATTTTGCTCTACAATCTTCAGTGTTTGTCACCACAGTGTATACTTTACCTTACGGTTTTTAGTGCCTACGTTTAATGGAATCTGAAGTATTTTGTTGGCAACAGAAACCTCACAAATCAGTTTTACACTTTCAAATCTGGCATCCAGCTTTGTGTTCTCCGTCTATTACAGACACAAATGATAGAAAGCAGGCACCAACATGTTTTATGAGCACAATGTTTGCACGGCATGTGTGCTCAGGTAGATGTCAGGATCCTTATCGCTTATGCCCAGAATTGATTTCTGGCAGAAAATGAAAAGGTTCCCAACCCCTAATAATTTGACCTTGCTGGGGTTCTTAAATGCTCCTGCTTTTACACATGGCCAGTCTTAGTAAATGCCTTTCCTTTTATTGCAGCGTGTGACTCTGTTAGTAAAATATTAGCTGAGGAGCTGGTGAAATCTCATTCTGCATGGCGTCCTCCTGTGTTCCTCGTGGTAATTTAACTAGATGTGAGGTTAGCCTGACCTCAAAGGAAAGGAATAATCGGTTTAAATGAGGATGACTTAGAATGAATTCACATCTACATGAAAGCAGAATTGTGTAATTTTAAAAGAACATTTTCCCTCCTCTTCCCCCGCCTCCCTTGAGGCTAACGTGATTCTGGTCATTGCAGTAAGGAGCTGAGTAGTTGATTTGACTCGAGCAGTTTATATTAAATCTGTTTTGAATCAGTATATTTTCCTTCAAACGATTGAATTGGCCCTTTAATAACATAATACATAGGAATATAATAATTGAATGGACTGAATGTACCAGCGAGAGTAATTATACAAACTGGGAGAGGGCTGACCTTGATGGCTTTACAGGAAGGTGGCTACCCTGTCAACTTCTGCTTGCCGACCCTCTCCTTTGCACTATGGAAAGACTGGCCTGTGGAGACGGAAGTCTCTGAGTGAAGGGAGTTGACGATTTTCTACCAAAATGTTTTTTGACCAAAGGAGAGTCCCTTTTCATCCTAAAGGAAACCTGTACAACCTGTTTTCCCCCCTCCAAAACCTCCATTATTTTGGTTTAATATTTATTCTTTTGCATTTCTTTAGATATTTTTTTCTACAGAATACACGTGCCCTTTCCCGCTTGCACATGCAATACTCTGTTTTGTTCAATGGATCCATTCCTATGGCCAGATCAAACTGAAAAACTGCCTTCTGGGGCCAGCAGCCTGGCTCATGTAGTCAATCTTTTGTCTTTCTGACTTCTGGTGAATTGGTGGTTTCCAGTTGAGCTAAGTTTGGTTTGGCCTAAAAGCGCTGACCAAACCAAACTTTGGTCAACTTTGGTGTACCTCCCATCTCCCCATCAATTATCTCTTTGTTTGTCTTCATACAACTGGAACTGAGACTGTGTAACTTGTGGTAGCTATTATTAGGGGCCTACCTAAATTGTGGTTTCATGGATTTCACGGAAACTGCCCCAAATAGCGTTGCGCTCAGTCACTGGAAAATCCAGCACTGTCTGCGATTTCCTGCAAAATCAACCAAAAAAAAAAGTGGTAGGTAGGCTGAGTGAAGGCGCCTTCTGCCAATCAGCGGCAAGGGGCAGGGCTGCTGGGACCCTCCGCCAATCAGCAGAGGGGCAGGGCCACTGTGAAATGCCCATGAAATCAGCTCTACCTGCTGCAAACGGACCATGAAATCCCGTTGTCTTGCCATGACTTAGGTATGCCCCTAGGTATCACATATGACAGAGATTTCAAATCTCTCTTCTCATTTTGAACTGTTCTGCTTTTCCCAGCCACAGCTGCAGAACAAAACTCCATTACTTAATTATTTACACCATGGAACGTGTTGCCTGCATGACTGCTGTTTCTGAACCCCAGAAATGCAATACAATTGACCTTTTTAATGCAAAAAAAAAAAAAAAAAAGTAACTCCGGAGCAGATGTTACAGACTTCAGTATTTTTCAGTTATTGCTAACTTTGCTAAGTGTGGTGTGTGTGTTTTTGGAAAACACTATATGATTTCTTTGACTCCTTGTGCTTCACTGCACTGAGATCAGCATAATAAAGCCTCGGTAGCCTGGGAAGAGCTTGAGTCCAACTTTATCATGTTTATATTACTCCTGCAGGAGGTGTCCCAATGCCGAGGCTCGCTGCATACAGTGCATCCAAAGCAGCTCTGTCCATGTTTTCTGGAGTTATGAGGCAGGAGCTTTCCAAATGGGGAATTAAAGTGGCGGTACTTCATCCATCAGGCTTCAGGACATGTAGGTATTTGACATTTCAGCTAGTTCTCCTCCCTCCTCAAGACTTTTCCCTATAGACCAATCTCCTCAAGCAGGAGTTTGAATGATTCTCAGCTGTCATGGTTCCTTCCCATCCTTCACTTTTATTACTCAGATAAAGTCTTAGATTGCAAAAGTGACCAAGAAACTGTAAACGCCCCCTCCATTGGTAGTGCCTGACTCTTTTTTTTTTTTTTGTTTGCGTCTAGAGCAGTGGTTTTCAGCCTCTGCTCTGTGTACCCCTCTGGGCCGACAGACTATGCGTAAGGGGTCAAACGTCTGTGAATACCCACACTTACAATTCAAAGGGGCTGCACCTTCATTTGAAATGTTTTAGGGATTTGGCTATGGAAAAAGGTTGAAAACCATCGGTCTAGATGGAGAGTATTTAAGCAAAGATCCTTATTGAGGAATGAGTGAAAGCCTTGGTTTACCTTTCACAGTATTGGGCACCGTTTCCCTTTGAAATCGGTCAGCCAGTCATTTTGACTGATTCTGATGGTTCTTCTCTCTTGTTTGAACTGCCTTGCCACACGTGAAAACCAGACTTCACTATCAGCTTGACTGTAGTAGAGCTTATGGTTTCCTGACTTGAGAACGTCAAAACTCACCCCCCCACAATATCCACTCCACCCTGTCAAACTGCTTTCCAGGGGCCCTGGTGCTGTGCCATCTGTCATTGTCCGCAGGTGGTACTCATTTTTATTAAGCAACTGAAGCTTTGTGTTTCCCAATACCCCTTTCAACTCTGAATTCTTTTCCCCATAAAGAATAAAGACTATTTTCTACAGAAGTTTTCATTGCTAACTGACAACCAGTCTGGCTAGAAACCTTTAATATTTAAACACTGTAGAGAGTGGGCTCTCCAGAGCACAGGAAACAACTCTGGAAAGACATTCTGAGGAGGCTGGTATTCCCATTCCCTAGATATTCCTATTCTGGCAGTGAGTTGAAAGCATTCATCCCTAGCACTTTCTCGTAGCACAATTGTGTCTACAGTCTTTTTTAAAAAAGCTTTGTATACAAGCCTGACTTAGCCAGCTCCATGTAAAACAACTTACTGGAAATGTTCTTCAAAGATTTCATTCCAAAATATCTACCATATTTCACTGTCTTTGTCTATGGTTTGTTAGGAAAGTATAACTTAAAACAGAATGAACTCCTTCTTCTCTCAACCTGTCCTGTGCAGTAGGACGCTCTTACTTCATGGTATCGTGTTGTCTTGGGAGTGTAACTTCTGTTGTCATGAGAGAGGTTCTGAGTAAAGTTTTTAAGACCTCTAAGGAGGCAAGGTCCCACACCAGATGTCACCATTTGAACGGTATTTGGGCACTTAAAAATGCAACGAGTGCCCAACTCCCGGTAATTTTGTTTTATGTCTATCTACGATGGGAATACCAGTCGTTGCCTATCTGCACCTTTAGGTACCTAACTACAATTAGTTGTCTTCCATGAAAGGTAAGGGGAATTAGGATTCTGAGTGTTTACATCATCTCTGAGAGCAGAGTTTAGCACTTCTCTAATGGACAACAATTGTGTTGGTGAACAGGTTTCCCGATTTTTGGTCCTTTGGTCCTGGTTTTAAACAAAAAGGTGTCCCCTTCGCAACCCCGTTACCCTAGTCAATTTTGCTAGGCATCATAACATCCTTGTTAATCTCAGTGGAAAGGACAAGGGCAGACTAGGCCATGGAGAATGAACTAATCTCTATGCATAGAGGCAATCTCTTCAGGTCATGGTTGATATCAGAAATGTTTATGTAACCTTGAGACTTGCACATATTTGAATCTGTTGGGTTTTTTTCCCCCCCTTCTCCAAGAATGTGTATAGTGTATCTTGTCTCCTCTTAAGATAGGCATGACAAATCTAGCTGTAACGTAGCCAGATTTTTTTGTGTGCGGTTTAATCATTTCAATCAGCAGCAGCTTTTTTGTTTTTGATGCAGTTGGGTACATAGAACAACTGTGTTAAACCGGGGGGGGGGGGATGACAACGTTTGTATTCACCAGTTGAACTGGATTGTCAAAGTACTGTACAATGCTGCGTTACTCACCTCCCAGGTGGTTGTTCCAGGCATACAAGGCACACCCGAGCTGTGGGATAAGCAAGAAAAGCACCTGATGGAGAATCTCATGCCGGACGTGAAGACAGATTATGGTGAAGACTACATTCTAGCACTGAAAAATTTCCTGCTGCACATGCCTAGCTCTTGTGGCTCTGATCTCTCCCCGCTCCTAGATGATGTTCTCGATGCTTTATTGGCAAAGAGTCCACACGGTTTATATACTCCGGGCAAAAACGCCTACTTAGCTCTGTGTATCTTTTGCTACTTTCCTCTCTGGTTTTACGACTTTTTCATCGGTAAATCACTGTGTGTCAAGATTTTACCTAGAGCTTTGAGGGCATCGGAGTCTAAAAGCAAGAACACGTAGGCGCTTGGAAACACAAGTCGGTATTTTAACTTCTACTGTGAGTTAATGAAGTGCTGTGTTAGGAAGTTTGCTTAACATGGCCCTTTGCTTATTAAATTACATTTATGCTGCTGAATGAATGGGAGCGAAGTGTAGTTTTGAAGATTTAAATTTATTTTAAAATTCATGAAAAGCGGTGGACGGACAGCACTAGGAAGTAAATGCCTCCAAATACACACTGCCTTGACACTAGCAATGCAAGCTTCTCGCACACTGCCTGCCTTTTCTCTCTGGGGAAACAAGGGGCTACTTCAGTCTCCATGTGCATTCAGTCCATCACCCTTTGGCTGGGGCTAGGTACAGGCATTCAAAAAGCCCAAAGCAGAATTAATTTAAGCTGCAAGGTTTTCTGTGGGCGGCATAGTTTAGGTAGGTAGTGAACAGAGCACACATTTGCCGTCTGGTGGGGGTGCAAACCTTAGGCCAGGTTTTGCCATTTTTAACCAATTTATGTGTGCTGAACTTCTGTTCTGCTGTGGGTATAGACCGGTGTCTGATCACTTCGTGGTAAAAGTGTCATGTCTGTATCTGGCTTGAGTGTCCTTCGTCCTACCAGCAAAAGCAGAACTTCGCAAAGTGGATTAAGGATCCACAAAATATCCCAAAAGTACTATTGGTATGTCGCGATCCATCCTGACATTCCCAGACAGGGGAATAAAACCCCACCTCATACACTAGCAGTCTTTCAATGTGGCTTCTGAAATGGTGAAGCCCGTGGAGATGGACCACCTACCTGGTACTGCCCTGCGCTCTGACACAGCTGAGCGGAGAGAGGCTCCGATTTTCTAAGGAACCCATGCGATGGGCATGTTTATCGTGAGAGCCGAACATTTCAGCCTGTCTAACCCAATGGCTGGTTTTCGGTGAACAAAGCTTAGAATTGGAGCATGCATAAAATTGGGCGTAAATCTGTATAGTGGGATGATATCAGGTTCTGTTTGGGTGCTTCTCTAGAAGTTACAAGAAGATAAGACCTGTGCTCCTAAAAGATTTGATTGCCCACGTTGTATAATAGTTATAGAACCGGTAGTGCTCAGATTAAAAAAAACCCAACAATTATGTGACACAGTACTTACTGCATGAGCCTGCTAAAAACACCCGCACTGCCTTTCAGTTTTGCTATGTTACTTGCCTGTAAGCAAGCGCGTATTTTTTTCTCCACTTTGAATTCCTAGGTAGCGGTAGGCTTTATTTTTCTGCATAGCATGGCCAGTGGGCTAGGTGCTTTCCAGACATTCCACATTTTTTTTTCCTTGAAGGATTTAAGGTCTAAGTAGGTGCCCTATTCTTTTTCTTTCTCTTTTAATAACAACGTGTTTAGGAAGTTTTAATAGATGTATGCTTTGATGCACCACCCAAGATGAGGCAATAATCATGATAACACTAATTTTATTTGAGTCTTGGAGATGCATCATGCCGCTATATAATCAACTCTTTCCATTTAGCAGGTTGTTGAAGTGGAGATGTTCTTCTCACTTCTCACTTTGATGCTTGCTGAGTTTTTTTAACATTCAAATTGGAGCATAGAGAGCTTTTAAAAGCTGGGGAGAGATATGAGCCAGCTGTTCACCAAATAAACATATTTAGCTATCAAAATGGATTTTTAAGTTTGTGATGACAACAGTCCCTTCAAATTGGGTATTACGTTTTTTAGCTTCCTAGAAAAGCTGATTTATGTAGAAAGCTAACTTCAATAAAGCCTGTGGCTTCTAGTGAGCTAGGGAACACAATGTCTGTCTCATTGACATCCATTCTTGAGCACAACTTTTCTAATGTTTGCAAACAACATGGCGACAAAAGGATTTCCCTCGACAAACTGCCTGGAAGGAAGGAGCTTGGAGCTGTAGGGATGGAAAAAAGGATTGGCAACTTCAGGCTACAGCATGGTCAACGAATTTTTTTACGCTACTATTTCTATAAAATCTCACACCAGTCAGGTTAAAATATGTGTATGGTGTGAATGTGGTTAAATGCTGGTTGAAGAGGAGAGCTTCTGAATGTCATGGGTATGTCCAGTCATTAGAAAACATACAAAATGTGGTATTACAAATTGTTGTATATTTATTACTAAGCGATCTCTTGGGAGCTGCCTGAGACTTCTACTTTCTTTCCATTCTGATGAGTAGACTTCCACTCTCACTGAATATGAATGGTTGGACTGAAGATATGTACAATTACTGAATAAATTGAATGAATGAAAAAGGAATAATAAAGTCACTTGTCTTTCCAAGGCTCGCTTTTCCTTGGTTAACTCTTCCATCTTTACAGAAAACTTGACTGATGGCAACCATGGGACATTTTTCACTCTAGTTGTTTATTCAAAGTGCTTTCCAGACTTCATAGTACACTTGCAGCTCTCCATGCACTTAATGGTCCTGCTCTTGCTTTATTGAATTTCATGGGAGACTTGCCAAAGTTTTAGTGAAAGTAGGAGTCGTTCACATGAATCACGTCCTCCATGATTAGAAGAGTCGTCATTTTTTTCCTTTCTGTCAATTTGGTCTCAGAGGGGCTTTTCTTTAGTGGACTTGGCCCAGCAGAGTAAGTCAACCTGGCTAGGATTATACAGCTAGGTCCTCTGTATAGGAAATAATGGGTGTGTCTAAATGTGCCAATTTAAGGCTCATTAGCCATTTTTAAGGTGCATTAAGGGTGCAGGTCTGCATGTGAGCATCCTTGATGTGCTTTAAAAATGGCTTTTTTAGGCTATTTGCACCTAAATTTGATACCTGCAAAAGCGGGTATCAAATTTGGCCACAAATAGCTGAAGCGCCTGCCTTAACACACATGCAGGTGTACGAAGGCACACTAACACTGTGTGTGTTGATTGCCTTAGGACTAAACTTTAGTCCCAAGTCATCCTGCACACCATGTTAATGCCCTTTAGCATGTGCACGTATAAATGCGCGCCTAAATCACCTTAATGCACATTAGGCAAATGCATATTAAGTTTAGGCACGCATAAAAGTGCATGTAGACATGCCCAGTGAGAGGAAGGTGCTCTGAGGGGTAGCTGAGAAAGCCCAGTGGCAGCCATTAGGAAATATGAAACACAGGGCTGTGTCTGAATTTCTCACTCCTCTTCCACCCGTCTCAGGCCATGCAGTAGGTAACTCTAGTATAGTCGCAGTCCACAATGCCTAGTTTTGCTTCTGATGTAGGCACTGGTGGTGGTGATAGTGTTGCCCATCAGCTGAGTAGTTAGGACGCTCATCCAGACAGTGGGAGACCTGGGGGGGATCTGAATCTACATCACTGACTTCCTAGGAGAGGGCCCTAACCACTAGGCTATGGGATAGGCCTTCCTGTTGCAGCTGAACCAGGCAGGAATCAGAAGGGAAGGAACAAAAGCAAAAGAGAGCTTAGTGAATATTGCACTACCTGGGAAAGGGGAGTCTTGGGTTCAGGTCCCTACTTTGTGCACGAGTGTGTGTGTGTGTGTGTGTGTGTGTGTGAAATTGCATAGAGAGCTGGGAACAAGCACAAGGAAGCACGTCCTCATAGCCTAGCAGGTAGGGTACTTGGCTGCAAGAGGGGAAAAGTACAGATCTCGTCCCTGCTGCTTGGATTCTTAGTGCATTTTTATTAAAATCTGTATATAATCTGCCTGTGTAAAATGTGTGTATGTAAAAGATATATGTCCTGTTAATATCTAAATCTAGACACCTAAACACCTGCTGCCCATCAGGTGAGCATTACAGCAGCCCTGTGTCAGAGGGGGGTGGTTAAATATTGCAGAGAACAAGAAAAGACCGTACTGATTTCAAGCCCTGCCAGGTTTAAGAGGTGTTGGAGTGACAAGTAAGGTCAACAAGCCCTTTTTCCTGAGTGTTTGAGCCCTTGGGCAATGTCTTTACACCTGCCCATTTCCCATAGCTTTGAGACAAATTCTGTTTCAACAGCTATTACTTTGTTTAAGGGCTGGTTTTGGAAGAGTTGTACAAGTAAACAGGTAAATCCACAAAAGGTACCTGGCCATGGTGCTGCAAGGTGTGAAGACGAAGCCAACTAAATGTTTACGATCCATTGTGACATGGCAGTACTTGGCAATTGGGTTAGTAAATGAACGTATAAACATAGGGCAGATCTCACCTTCACGCAGAACATGGTACTGTGTCACTACACCTGAGTGAAGTGTTCACCTGCTGATGTGAAAAGGAGTTTTGGAGACAAAAAACAGAGCATCAAATCAGGCATGGAGCAGAAAGCAGAGCAGCAGCTTGGTCAGGGAGCATGGAATAAAATCAGAGCCTCAGAAAGGGCAACAGAAAGGGATCAGAGGGGCACTCTGGGATTTGTGGCACATCTGCCAAAAAGGTTGCCCCTGCCCACTGATCTATTAAATAATTTGTCTCAGCTATATACAGCAAAGACAGCTTAATAAGCCAAATAGTTTGTATAGACAAGATGCCTTGGAATAAGCACTGGGAGTCTGTCTAGATTTGAGACAAAGGTGCATCTTTCCCCTGGGCCTGATGACATTTTGCCCAGGGCTGGTAGACTAGTTCGAGCTGGTGATAGAGGCTAACTGCGGTCCCCAAACGAGGCAGAGCATTCAAGTGGAAGATGACCTCTCTCATGAGAGTGCAAAGAAACCCAGTGATTAACAGAACAGCTGCTGTTGCCCTGAGAAAGTAGGCTGAAGGAATAAGAGATTCAAGTTAATCAGTCATGCAGCCATCAGGAAGTAAGTTGACAGATCAGATTATAAGGAGGCTCAAGTTCAGCCATTCCTGCAGAAACGCGTCATCACCAGCTCTATTGCTGCCTGGACAGTTGACACTACACTGCAGATATTTCAATAACCACATTTCATTTTGTTTAATGAAATCTTCATATTTTCCCAAGCAGGAAGCAACTGTGACCACCTGAAACCTGAAATCCTGCTCCTGCCTTTGTTTCAAGGTAATTTGCACCATCACAGATCCTTGCAGGAGATGAGAGGCTCCAGACCAGCAATGAGCTGCCCAGAGGAGTTTTCCATCTATTACCTCCTCTGTGAAATCCTCCGGAATATAAACTTTCTTTTCTACCCAGGAAGACTTTTACAATCTTTTCTCCAGCGCCTCATGAAGGATGTTTGTGCCCAAAAGCTTGCAATTCAAGATTTTTTTTAGCAATAATCTTGTTGGTCTCATCTCTACTACAAGTCCTGATTGCCTTTTCAATAGCCATTGCATTTCCATTTCTGCTGAAGATTAAGAGGTGTTTGCTAGTCATTTATAGTTATGTTCAGGCAACCCAGAGGTGGTGTGGGGAGAGGCAGGGGTCTGTCCATGGTAATCAATTTAATGGCTTGAATTTTTGGAGCTGTGCCCCAAAACATAGATCAAGAATCTGACACTGTTGTAAAAGAAGGCAAATATTCAAACCCTCCAGCGAGGTAACTGTTAAGTCATGCTTTATAGATCATTGTAACTTTAATGATTCTAGGCTTCCTGCAAAGAGTTAATTATAGCAGTTAAAAACTACAGCCTACCCAAGTTTTATGCCATGGCTGAAACATCCAGTTGGGAGTTGCCTTTAGCGCTCATGAAAGAAGAGCACAGAGACAGTAATTATCATATAAAGCCAAAAAGTTCAGTCTCTCCAACCCAAAACGATGAGACTTTTTCAGCAGGGGATGGGTTACTGGCCTAACCCTCAGGTTCACTTCCATTGATGCTGAAATGAAGCCCTTCATCCTGTCAAGATAGATGAAGGTGAGCCCATGAATTTTATGGTGTGTGGTTCTTCAAGCAGGTCTTGTAAAGGAGTGAGTTCTGGTTTTGCATGGCCACACTTTATAATAGATCTGGACTGGAACTTGCCTTGGAATTTCTTCCTGTCCTCTAATGCTCAGATTGAAACATCAATTTGGTCTATGGCCGGTGAGGATGGGAGAGGTGGGACAGATAAGCTCATGAGGTCTTTTCCAGCCCTACTTTTCTATGATGCACTGACTATCAGGTTGAGGGATGTGGACAAGGGGCTGCCTGAATTATTTTTTATAGATACTTTTTTAAAAATAATGTTTTTTGGAACATTTTTCTGAGAAATGGCCCCGTGTCAAAGATTCTCTGCTGCAATACATGAGGATCTCTGAGCAATACATACACCATTGAGTAATATGTGGATACACAGATACTGGACACACTAGAAACAAAAGAGAACCCGCCAATACAATTATTGCCTGCCTTGTCTACCAGGACACAGACTCTTTGGGGCAGGCCATGGATGCGGGGCAGATCCTGCAAGTCCAGTCTGTACAGGCAAGCGGGACAAAGACCGTGTCTTTGCGGTGAGCTTACCATCCTTGAGTGACTGCTGCATGTGCACTGTGCTGCTCTGGGCAGGCTGCTTCCCCAACTGAAAGCACTGAAGCCACACTGGGTTGACACCAATTAGCAGGGTAATTATAATTAGAATGAGGCTCATTAGTGCGGTGCTAATTAGCCTACCAGAAAAATCCTGTAGCTATGGCTATACTGCCTAGAACACAGCCTGCTTAATGTTACCTGGAACCATCTATTGCTAAGCATGTTGTCTAGTAATTTAGCAATGTTAAGACAAGATATGATGTCCAAGAGGTTTAAGATGAGTCCTTGTCTCCAGACTGTATCATATGTAGTCTGAGAGATCAAGGAAAACAGCTACAGGTTTTAGTGACTTTTCAAAGCCATTTTCTATATTGGCAGTCAGGGCCACTATTTGATCACAACATCCTCTGTCGGGTTGAAACCCTGCTTGCTCAGGGGGAATATGCTCACTTATGGTCTGAAAAAGTCTAGTAAGAGCAGACTTACATTGAACAATGGGCCCCTGTGGGGATCAGTCCTTGCACCTCTGCTCTTTAATTTTTACATTCATGACCTCCAGAAACATTCATATATGCGGATGACCTAGCTCTTGTTACACAACAATCTTGTTTCTCCAGAGCAGAAGCAATAGTTGCATCTGATCTGGAGACTTTAGATACCTACTTTAAATGGCACCTGCGCCCCAACCTGGGAAAACAGAAGTGTCTACATATCACTTGAACACCAAACACGCTCATTATCAACCCGTTGCTGTTTTCAGAAAGCAGTTTCTATGTTATCGCAGTACTTCTGAATATTTAGGGTGGAACACTGTTCGATACAAATCACTTAACTATTACAGCAGAGGAGTTAAAAGTCTGTCATTTGCTCCAGAAACTCACTGGGACTTTTTGGGGAGCTGATGCTGGTGCAGAGAGAACAACAGCTTTAG